ATCCCCTGTCCAACATCTCAAATAAAGGGTTCTGATTCTGGTGGTGTAGCGTTGTTCGTAGATTAACGGTTTTAACTTTCAGGCTTCAAAAACCATCCAACGGTTTGTTTATTTGTATCATCTTGCTGAATAGAAAGTGAAAAGGTCAGAAGCTTTTGTTTGGCAGACAGATTCCTTTTGGCAATAATCAAAAAAAAAGAGAGGGGGCAGCCATTTTCTTATGGTTGGTCCAATACGCACAAATGTATTATAGGATGGATTACAAATGTTATTATTTATCTGTTGATTTTAGGAGCGTCATTAAATTGTCAATTGCAATATAATCTGTGGAGTTTGGTCAATAGGAAAAGGTATCATATGTCAGGCATTTGGTATTGTAAAACTGGTCCTAAAATCAATGTAGCCTGACAGCAACTGGACGCATGCGATTCAACCTATTTTCAGAATGAAGTTTCTCTCAAGAAACAATGAAATAATTTATATTTGTCTGTTTTTTAGAAATCATTATATCAAGAAAGTTTGCTTGTGTAAAATAAACATGAATTAGCCACCCAGGTTCAATGGACCTGTTGTGTTTTAGTGATGTCAGAAAATGTATTGATGATAACAAAGCTACATTTCATACAGATTTTTCTTTCTGTTGTTTTCATTTGGTTTCTAAATATTCTTAGTACCGTGGATTAAATACAGATATTAATATAGATTGGCTACTTCAATAGCGCATGTTAGATATTGTTGTGATGTTCCAAACCTTGGCATGAGGAACTAACCAGACCTCGTTAATTATCATTTTTTATCAGTGGTCCAGCCTGTTTATTCTGCTCTCCATGTGAGGGTGAATCATCTTACATTCTTTGTCAAATGGCACTATGTTCAGCGGGAAAGAGAAAATATTGCAATGTCAGCTCTTTCCAATATCATGCAGCCTAAAGTGGACACATCGCCCGGCACTGGTTCTCTCACGCCACCCTGCAAACCGCCCAGTGTTCTTCTCTACCTGCTGAGGACGCTACTTTCAATGGCTCCCAGATGGAAGGAAAGCAAAGCACTTTTACGAGCTCTTCTTGTAAAAGTTGACGGCAGTGGAAAGGACCTCAACTGTGGCCGACTGCAAGCCCCTCGACCTTCTACTGTCTGCACATCTCTCCCACATCACATGTGATGATGCACGGGTCTCGACTAAAACCTCGGCGACCATTCTGCGGCTCATTTAGTTTTCTTATAATCACACCCACGCCTTTTTAATTATTTAGAATGAATGAAAAGGTGAAGGAGACTGATGAAGCTGAGGAAGAGGATGGGGATGGAATGTGGGTAGAGCAGGCGAAAGCAATGTTGTAGAGAGAACGCCCAAGATGAGAATAGAAGCAAAAGCTCAACAGAAGGTTATTATTATTATCAATATTTTTGTTGGGGTTGTTCATTAATCAACTGATTGATCATTCAAATGTGTACCCCTAAACCTCAGAATAATCCAGTTTCCTTATATATCTACATGTTAAATTCCAACATACGTTCATGCACCTTTATTAATAATCCACTGACTGTCATTCACCCATTGTTCTCCTGAACATGAAGCTTTATAAGCGTTTTGAAAATCGGTATCAATATGAGTCATGTTGTGATCTGTGCATCTATTTCCTATAGAACTGGACAGTGCTTTTCCTCTACAAGGGCTGTCAGGCAGTACAACTGGGTTATTAATAAGCATATTGCATGCTGCAAATGCTACAGGAATTAATATTCATGCGTCGTCTTGCCTTACAGGAACAGTAAATCCAGACACTATTGTTTCCTGGTTACAGCAGAGTCAGCGATCCTGCATCCAGCCAAGGTGCAAAGCTATTTCCCACGGCCTGAGCTGCAGTAGAGAGCAGCTCCACTCAGCACTATAAGGATCATTACTGCTGGACGGGACCAGAGAAAAAGCATCAGCTGCAGCCGGAAAAAGACGGTACAACTCCAACCTCCGTGACTCCGTTGCTCTCAGAGTGCAAATGAATGTGACAATCGCACAAGTCACAGCATCTAGAATGCACGGATATACAAGCACTGAATGTGGTGTATTTGGCTGCAGTGATTTGTCCTACTGGCGTTGGGGAGATCTGAGTGAGTGAGACTTTCTCTGCTATCATATTGAGTAAAGGGACGATTCATAATTTTCTTCTGTCCTTCCAGACACGACACACAGGTTTGTAGGCCATCATCAATGATGTCAGGATGGAAATGAGCAAAGGGCTCGGTTAACGGAGAAGAGAGGGTGATGCTTTCCTGGGACCTCAGACCTACACCGCCGTCGGGTGGCAGTAGCCAGAATGCGTTGTCTATCACGGCGGGTCGGTGTGAGCAACTGTGTCTGCACTACGTCTTCCCATGGAGCAGAAAAGGGGGGTTGAGGTTCTGTAAAGAGCATTGACACGATGAGGAGTCAATGTCGTTACAGCACAGAAAAAGATTTAAATGTATCACTGAGGTGATGTTCATTCAATCTGCACTTTCACACAGACCTTAAACAAGGTGAACGATGGAGTAGCACACTGCTCCCACACAGACGGCTTAACAATGCAACGTAAATCACTTTGGATAAAAGGGACACGTAATATAAAGTCCATCTTGGAAACACTGTCTGATATGATGTTTGGGTTTCACCAACTAGCTGACAAGTCGTGCAGTCGACTACTACTGATAATGTTAACTTGTGTTCTCTCCATTCAGTTAGTAGTGGAGGCCCATGGTGATTAGCAGCTTAGCGCTGGAAGCAAAAGATGAAGCAACTGTTCATTCTAACAGATAATAAATGCCTGTAACTGTGACACGCGTTCAGTCAAAGGAGGTTTTATACAAACCTCTATTCCCCTAAACGAACATTAACCGACGAGATTGGAGGACATTTCAATGTTACATTACAGGTCATTTAGCAGACGCTTTTATCCAAAGCCATAGGTGTCTTGCTCAGGGACACTTCAACATGGAACATGGGGCAGCCTGGAATCGAACCAGCAACTTTGTGCTTCCCAGCACACCTTCTCTAACCCCTGCGCCACGACGAACCCAGAAAAACTGTTTGCAAGTAGAAATTACCAGAGTACTCCAAAGAAGTTGAAGGAGGGTCCGAGCTAGCCAAGAGTCGAACCTGGAATCTCGTGATTCGTACTCAGACCCGTTATCCATTGCGCCACTAGCCCTGTATATGTTCAGTTCTCATGGATGTCTCATGGATCAGCACCTCGCTTTCATGCCATTGTCACATTTATATTAACCAACACAAAAATACACACAATTAAATAATTATGAAAACTAAACGTGGTGTAAAATCCATTGTTCCTGGTAATTACACCAGAATTTAAGCGACAGAAATACTATATGGTGTTAGAATGTTAAATGGCAGTATTTTTAGCTTTCTAGACCAACTGATGTGTCCATTTGTCAGACTGGAGCAGCATATTTGATGGGAGCAAAAGTCCAGAGACGTGCTCTGGGGATCAGGTTGACTGGGGGTCTCGAAGTTGCCCGTAGGTGTATGAATGTGAGTGTGAATGGTTGTATGTCTCTGTGTAGCCCTGTGATTGACCCCCCCCAAAAAGCCCAAAAGCTCCCTGTTCAATGTGGACAATTGAAGGAAATCATTGTTTATTTAGCTCGACCCTTCGGCTAATTAAAATCTCACACACAAACACACTTCTTATCAGCTGATTTCTGGTTTCTGAAAGGGTGAACGTGTGAACGCATTTTGGCCCTGAACACGTACCAGTGGGACCCAAACGGCTTACGGAGAGTCACATCACCCACGTTGTCCAGCTTATAGACACCCTGATAGGAATGTATACACACATGTTGCCTTATAGCATCATGCTCATCTGACAGCTACAATGAAATGCAGGCGTCATCCTTTACTGTGACTTCCTCGCTGCCTCCTCCACTCGCGCCGAGGGTGAGCAGGATGACACGGGGGGGAGAGGACGTGCAAACGGAGAAACGCGCATGGCGCCTTGGTCTCTGCCAGCTGGTGGAGTTTCCTCAGTTGTCATGGAGATGGCTGGATTTGTGATGAACTCTAGTCACATGATCACAGGTGGTTGTATATGTGGGGATTGTCATCATCACCACTGATGTTCTACTAACTGTAGATTCGGATGCATTTCTTTAGGCGTGTCATCGTGATGATGATAAACTTTTCATTCCTCCCTTCAGTAAACACGACCCGCCGACATTCCCACATTTTACTCTCGTTGTCCACATGGTGCAGCTAACAGTAAAGCCCCTTCCTGGGCCACGTGCCCACTAACTGCGTCTGTGTGTTATCATTATTAATGGTACAACGTTGTGTTGTGGGAAATAAACCCCACTCATTGGTCTGAGGAGTACAGTGGAACTATGTAAGACATTTGCAAACAGTAAAAAAAATACAAATTGAAAAGCCACCGTGATAGTTAAAGTTCTTGGACGGAAACAATGAACAACACATAAATTGGTCAACGGCGTGGGAGCAACCTGTCAATCACTGCTCCCCGACCACCGGGCCGCGGACCGGTATCGGCCATTTGGTACCCGGCCACACAGAGAGAATAACAATTTTTTAGTTTTATTATTATGAAAAATGACCAGATTCTCTCCCAATTAAAGGCGCTTGTGCCTCTTGACACATTTCCCAAAGCGCCACTCAGGCACGTTTACGATTGTCCACTCGCTCACACGGCCGTTTCTACCGGTTACCTGAAGCATTCATAGAACTTAAAACAATATGGCCTTTTTATCTGATTGGGTTTCAGTCTCAAATTCTGCAGAAGCAGGGGGTTCAGTTGGGTCAGGTATGGTGGCATTTGGGACACTACAACAATTTAATTTAACTTAACAGACGTATAACTGATATCTATCATTTCTACGGCAGATCACATTCTGCTATTTCTTTTTGACCTAATTTACATCCATAATAACGTTCTTCTCATGGATCATGGATGACTTATGAATTAAATACAAGTTAGGAGTTACCCTCTGCCTACCGTTGTACAGACTCTGGTGGTGGGGGGCCATCTCCTCTCCCGGCGTCCTCCTCTGACCCCCGTCCCTGCCGGGGGAGCTGCTGCCATACCTTCCCTTGCCGTGCTGAAAGTGGTGGTGGTGGCGTATAGACTCTGGACTACCCACAATCACCTGCGCTTTCCTCAGCTGCTCGGGGGTCCCCATCACTGCCATCTTGGCCTCGGGACCCCCGCAGCCCACCCCCGCCATGTTGACCAAGCGGTGTCTCTGACTCTCCGGGCTGGACTTCCCGAAGCCCGCGGCCGCCTGCCCCGACAGCAGGAGTTGTTTGTGGGATAGCCGGTGGGAGCTGCAGGGTTTGGAGGCGTTGGTGCACGGTAGCCTCGTTGGCGACTTGCTGTGTTTCTCCGGGCTGCAGCCCAGAGGGCCACGAGGGTCCATGTTGGTGAGGGAGCCCCCGCGGGGGCGGCAGGACTGGGGGAAGGTGTTGTACTCTGGGGTGGAGCTGTGCCTCCTGCCCGTGGATTCGCACGTGTCTCCCGGTTTGTGGTTGTGCTCTGACGGGACGCGCCTCGATCCAGGGCTGGCTGAGAGACCCAGATGGGAGGGTTTAAGATGGGGGTTGTCCGGACTATCCGTGCTCCCCCCGCTGGAGGTGCTGCTCCCATCGCCCACGTCCCGCAGCAACCCAGGCGCCGGTAAAGTCCCCCCCAGCTGAGACAGGCTGCTCTGACTGTCAATGGAGCTTCTACGTCCGGGGCCTCCGGGGAACGGCGTGTCCTCCGACGGCGGCCCGCTCCTCGTCCAGCATGAGGCACACTTCTTTGAGCTCCAGGTTTTCACGGACAACCTCTACCTGCCGCTGCTCCAGCTCCTTCAGCTTCTGCAGGTAGATGGACACCTCCTTCCTCATCAGGCCGGCGCTGTAGCGGCCCAGGCGCTGCCACTCCCGCGACACCCGCTTCCCTTTCTGCCGGTCGTCGTCCAGGAAGCAGCACAGGTCCCGCAGCTCCTGGTTGTCCTCCTGCAGTTTCTGGTTCACGTCCTGGTTTATACGACACACACACACACACACACACACACACACACACAGCACTGTGAGGTTCCATGCACACTCTCGTTGGGTTTGATGATGTGATGAGTGAGACTAGCGGGCATCAGTTCTGTTTGTGCTTCTCAGCTGAAACCACAAAGTCCATCGACATTAATCTGTAACCGTTGTGATGATTGTTTGGAGTTTGTGTATTCTCTGGTTCGGACTTCTCCCATTTGGCTGCTTTATCGCCCCTTTTTACTTGCTGACATTCTATAGGCCAGACCACGGATAGAGGAAATGCCACATTAACCAGGATATATCAGGACTTTGTATTAGTCTGCCAATTCAAACTGGAATAACTATCCCAACTTCAAAGATCTGCTTTTATCCGACCAAGTGAGAAATAAAATTCTTTATTATTGAATTTCTTTATTGAAAAGCTAGCAGGTGATACATTTTGTGACGTGAATGAGATGATCACTGCTTTCTTGACATTGGGGTATTATTCTAAACACAAAGTCCAACCAGTGGCTACACACCAGCAAAGTTATCTACTATTTTTATATGTTCAGTAACACAAATGACATTTTGCATGTAGTGAATATATAAGAAATGATCTCAAGCATCCACGTGTCCATCCTTCCACACACGTCTGTAGTCTGTAAGCAACAGGTTTGATGATATTATAACCTTTATTATTCAGTGACTATTTTGCACTACATGTGCACACACGTCATCTCACCTTTAAGCTCCGGATCTCGTTCAGGTGCTGTTGGAGTCTCCGGTTCACCTCCCGCATCCGATCTCCGTGGTCCATGATGGCGCTCCTCTTCCCCGCCTCCGCCCTCCGCAGCCAGCGCACCAGCTCCTCTTTGCCCCGCGTCAGCAGCTCCTCGTCGCTCATGTTGGAACTGTCCTCCGCCGGGTTCTCCATCCTTTCAACCACACCAGGAAGTACTGGATCAAGAGAATCCCGATCCAAAACGCTGCTTGGGTCCCGTCCCCTCCACCCACCCTTCCTACGCCCGTGGAATCACATCGCTCTCCCCCACGCCCATGCTGCGGCTCCGGGTGCTCCTGCTGCTATTTCCCCGCAGTCACCGCGGCCCTCCGACGGCTCGGGGCGGCGCTCTCTGCAGGTGCATGCCGGCCGCTCCGTGCGCACTACGGGCGCTGTGCGAGCGGCGGGGACGCGGACGGGAGGAGGAGGAGGAGAACGGGGGGGGCTGCAGGATCAGGTTGCAGGTGCATGGCCGGGGAGACGAGGTGCGTTACTGTGAAGAAGGGACTCCCCTCCTCCCCCCCCCCCCGCTGCGTCCCTCGGTCTCTCTGACGCATCGTTGTCAAGTTGCGCCATCTGCTGCGGATGGAGGAGAAGATGCATGTGGTGGATCGTTCCACAGAGCACGTGTTCTGTATGATTTAGTTTAACACACCCTGCGTTCCTGTCCTCTTAAGCCCCTGTGACAGGAATCTCAGAAGAAACCAGAAAACATCTTTAAGATCTGTAGAAAAAAACTTACACACTCACTGCAAAACAACCCTACAAGAATAGCGTGATGATATAATTACAGTCTGCTCACATTTGGTGACACCAGCACAAAGGATTTAACCTGAAACAATGTCGGCAGTCGGCCAGTTCTGTCTGCAGTGAGTCTATATTCTGCACTGTTCTCAATGGGAGGTAAAGTTAAAGACATTCAGGTCGGCGGATTATCCAACACTTCCCTCACCTTTACTGTCTTTGTGCGTCGTTCACGCCATCGAAAAAAAAGGAATCAAAGTCTTTGTTTTAGCACAGTTGCAGTTTGACAAAAACCAAAAACACAGAAATCATCAGGAAAACCGAATGAGGTCAAATGAAATAACGGATTTCTTCTACTGCTGTGCAAAACTCTACACACAAGTAAACATGACACAACACTGGTAAATATACCGTTCACATCTGTGTCAAATTCAAACTCTACTATTAAAACCTAACATTCCTTTGTCAAAATGTAACTGATGACAAAATGACACATACATGCATCATATGACACATACATGCATCATATGAATACACTTTCAGATCAGCAGCAACACACTAGTCTACTTTATATAAAAAACTGCAGTCATTTGTTTTCAATGTTTTTATTCAATTCCACAGAGGGCAACAACCAAAACATGAAATACTCAATTCAAAATCATTACATTAGTACATTGTGCTACACAACTTTACTGTATTTACCATACACAGTACTGACACATCAACACGTTATCACAATGTGTTTCACAAAATACCACTTTGGTTGTAAAAGGAGCATTAGCCACCGTGGAATACAATACATGTCATACGGTACAGTACTGTAAATACTCCAGAGGCAGTCTGAGTAGAGTATAGAGTTGAAGACATACCTGATGTCCTTATTATGGAGGCAACTGTGAAACGGCTTAGATTAGGATGGACTCTCTGCCCAGCTTCCCTCATAGTCAGGCCACGGTTTATGACCTGGTCCACCAAAGTTGCTCTTATGTCATCCGAAATAATGGTCCTCGTGTGGCGTCTTCGACCACGTCCTCCCCTCTGTCTCGGTCTTCCTCGTCCTCGTCCTCTGCTTCCAGCTCTCTGCCTCCATGCTTGCAAAGTTCTCTAAACGTGTTACTGCAACTGGGGCCTTTTTGTAGCTGTTCAGTGCTCAGTGTGTAAGTAAGTGTTTGCAGGTGTGTGTCCAAGTCTTTTCAATCAACCAATGTGTGTTGTATTTTGAATAGATGTGTTTTCCCAACGGTACCCTGGGATTTAAAGTGTCTTATATATGAAATAGTTTGTAGTGTCTAGGAGCAAGTGTGTTGCAAAAAGGAGCAAGTGTGTTACAGAATGCAACTAAAGTACAAACCAGCGCTTTTGTTTAAGGTAGAGTTACACTTTGTGTAAGGTATAGTGACACTTTGTTTAAGGTATAGTTACACTTTGTTTAAGGTATACTGACACTTTGTTTAAGGTATAGTTACACTTTGTTTAAGGTATAGTGACACTTTGTTTAAGGTATAGTTACACTTTGTTTAAGGTATAGTGACACTTTGTTTAAGGTATAGTGACACTTTGTTTAAGGTATAGTTACACTTTGTTTAAGGTATAGTGACACTTTGTTTAAGGTATAGTTACACTTTGTTTAAGGTATAGTGACACTTTGTTTAAGGTATAGTGACACTTTGTTTAAGGTATAGTGACACTTTGTTTAAGGTATAGTGACACTTTGTTTAAGCCTGTGTCTATAGTGTTCAAGCAATGGGCAAAAACTGTAATCCCTAATACTCCAGGAGGAAGTACATCAAGAGCCTTCACCCCTTCAACACAGCGGTTTAGTACTTGTCTTTGCAGCAGGTCATGGTCGTCCCTCGCCCGTGACTTCATGTTTATTGGGCCTTATCCTGGTTCTGTCCGACGCCACGGACACGAAGAAACTGTCTCCCTCCAAAAAGACTTGACGTATGGGTTCTTCACTTGTACCATAGATTCATATCATATGCGTATGCTTACTGATGTCAGATACAAGTTACATCTGTAGCAGCATATTCTATATGCTGATAAATAGCTTGTAGTACAATGATGAAATGTAGTGGAGGAGCAATCCAACTTGTAACTTCAGTAAGTACAAACAGAAATGTGAACGAGTAGACGTTGGTGAGGAGCCCTGAGGGTGGCACGTGTATATTTGTGTCTCATGGTTGTCTCCTTCTTTCCAATTCCAATGAGATCACTGCACACAGATACAACTGAATAAAAAGACAAAACACATCTGAAGCTGAGCACCTCTTGTTCTTTCTGAAGGACACGTTATATCGGCTTCTGTCTCCTTATTGTGTCTTTATCCTGACCCCTCTGAGAAAGCTTCAGCTTATCTCCGAAGTAAGAGCCTCATAATCTACACCACTAAAAGTTCCTGTTCTTTTACAAGAAGTGTGTGAGAGGAACAATGTGGACGGGCCGGTGCTGCCGGATGAACCGGTCTGACGAGATGCCTCAATCAGCTTAAATGAGAGGGATCCGCGTCTCCAGCCAGATCCTCTCACAGTCCTGCATGATGGAGCTGCCGCTGGTCCTGCTCGTCCTGGTGTCGGCGTGTGCGGGAAAGGACTGGATCCCTCCGCCCTTTTGTCATGGCAGGTGTCCTCCGTTCACCGTGGTTGAGACGCACCAGGTATGTTTCAGAGCAGCTCACACACACACATACACACACACGCTCACACACACACACACACGCTCACACACGCTCACACACACACACACACACACGCACACGGCATCGCTCTTTTTCTGTCTGCATCATGCTTCATGTTCCCGCTGTGTAGGATTTTGAGGAGCGTTTGTACGCTCCGGCTAAATGGCTTACGACCCCGATGGGAGGAGCCACAGTCACTGATCTACTGGCTGCAAAACACCGGCTGGAGAAGGTCGCAAGTATGTTGGTGAAAGCCAAAGTCTCAACGCATTGTGGTTCTGTGACGCTTACGTCTTATTTGCCGTTGTATCCGATGAGTTATCACTCTGAATAAAGTGGTCATTAGAGAGTAGCAGCTTTATACGGTTCATCTCCATATTGAATCCTTTTACTCGACTTCAAAGCAGCAGGTGAGATGTTTCTCACCTAATGGACGACAATGTGATCTGTTAAACCCACAGAACAAACAGAGTAGGTGGAGGCAGAGAGGAGGGGGGGGCATGGGGGAGGAGGCAGAGAGGAGGGGGGGGCATGGGGGAGGAGGCATAGAGGAGGAGGGGGGGGGGCATGGGGGAGGAGGAGGAGGAGGGGGGGGGGGCATGGGGGAGGAGGCAAAAAGGGGGTCAGGGAGGTGGATAGGGGAGTTTGATGATTTTGGTATCAAAAGAAAAAGAGGGGTTAAGAAGCTTCTGACATAAAACCTTTTAATAATAAAAAAAATATCTGTGTCTGACTTCACTACTTCAGTCTGGGGCCGTTTTGGAACAATTCCATCATTTCTTCATGTTCTTTCAGAAAAGGTTTTATTCAAAACTGAAGCATGACGACGTAATATATTGTTGTTACATTATACGTATATTTCATCACTAAACACAAGCACAAAGTATTTCTAGTTCCCAAACATGACGAAATGTCTGTGGCATGTTGCGTTTCTGCAGGTATGACACTCATCACATGTCATGGTTTGATGTTTGTTTTTGGGGGTTTTTAGCAACAGGGTTGTATTCATTCACATGAGTTTGTCCGTCCAAACGTCCCGTGGCTGAGGACACCCCCCTAACGTGTGCCTGCGTCTTCCCCTGCCTGTCCCCCCCAGCTGATGCTGACACATGGCCGGTTCTGATCAACTACACAAATGGCCTTGATTTGTCCTATTCCTACTTTGTTCCCGCTGACTCGACGTTGATGGACGGCACTGATCCATCCGTCACCCTGCTGAGCAGACCGGAGGTCACGGTTTATGTCAGGTGACCACTGCCTATTACCTTTTAATTCATTAAACACTTTAACTCAAGTATGTAGCATTTTTTCAGGTCACAAGTTACAAGATTTGACTGAGACTTGAACCAAGTGATGCTTTTAATCCTAAACCATTTCTCTCTTTTTGTTTCTACTTTATATAAAAGGTCCTATGACGGCACTCCGAGCATCGCAAGAGGTCGCGACAACAGAAAGACTCTGTACGACGCTTTGATCAAGGCTGGGAAAACCGCCGCTGACCCTAACAGTTACACTTGGGCCGGCTATGACAGCTATTGGTCCCTCACGCACCACAATGAGGTCTGGATCGAGAAAACCCAGTAAAACGTGTGGCGTATGGTAGATATTGGAGTAAATGTGACATACTGACACATTGTGTACACCTCACTGATGTCGCTGTGATCTGACATCTTGGCTCTAAAGCTCCAAACCGGTTTCTCATCTGCCCTTCCCACATTCTAATCACATTTTGTCTGATGACACCTCTGCCAGTAACTGAGAATAAACAGTTGAGAGCCTTTGTCTTTGTCCCTGATGAGTTGATTACAGGAACTCCCCAAGTTGGCAATCACTCAATGTCATGGACCTCTGCCACCTCCTTCCTAGTATGTATCGTATTGTGCAAAGGCTTGGAAGGAAGTTGTGAATATGATCTCAAATCAGTACTTAAACACAAAAAGAAAAACATTACACAACAGTATACTGCACGTTATTTCTCATTATGGGGTCGATTTCTTTTGGAGCCTCCACACCGGAATAAAGGCATCCACCAATCACGTTGTGAGGAACGGACATATTGACTACATACACTATAGGGTAGAGCAACGGGGAGGCTCCATTACCTACTCCTCTCAACTTTAATACGATAACAGACCAACATTTACAAAGAAAGGAAAACCAGGTCCACTCCTCCTGGTAATGCGTAATATATTACGCATGGGGGGGTTTCTGAGCGTTGTTTAGAATTTATGTAATTGCAGTTCCAAAAGTCCCAAAATGTCCCAGAATCCCAGCCTGACTCTCTCCATGGTGCTCCTTGAGGTCTTGGTGTGTTTAGAGTAGAAGAGCTTTACAAAGTCACTGAAGAGAAAAAAAGACTAGAAATGGGAAACTGGTTAAAGATGCTGCAGAGTTCCAGGACCACTGGCCTCACTGGAGTGTGATGTCTGGTGTTTAACACTAGATGGTGCCCTCAACCAATGAGACGTATTGATACCAAACAGCATCTTCTCACCCAGTATTATGTCAACGCGTGTTTCCCATGTCGAGCATAAGAATCCGTGAGGGTGCTGGCAGAGTAGAGAGGTACTGAGTATGCCATTATATACAGATAGTATGTACAACTATATACACATAGTATGTACAACTACATACAGATAGTATGTAATGGCCTAATCAGCAGACACGTATGCATTGGGAATGATATACAGTACCAGAGGCTGCCCACCAATGACTGTAGCCCCCTAACCCTTCTAACCTGGCTGGTCTCCCTAACATTACGTACCAAAAAAAACTTGACCTTTGGTAAGATGGGCTTGTAAGTACTTGTAAAGTAATAAAATATAACACTGTGCCACTAAAATAGTCAGCAAATGCTATTTATTGGCGGAAAAGAAATCTTCCATATTTTTCTTCTCACTGGGAAAAAAGTATTTCTCCGGACAACGAAATCACTTTCTATGTTTGTGTTTTTTCAAATCATTTTTTTTCAATTCCCACATGTTCAAAAGTATGAACATAATCCTGCAAAAGGCTTGTCTCACCTGAAGAAGATGTTATAATGGGGGAGACGGGGTTGCATGTACAGCAAGACTCGTTGACAAAGACCCACCACATCCGTAGAAAGCTTGAACCACAGCGGCACGTCACTGTCCCCCCCCACCAGTGGGAGGGGGACTTTTTGGTTCCTTCGGCTCCATCCGGCTCATGGTTCCCATCACAGGCAGAAAATGACACAATGATATGTAAATGTGTGTTAGTAGGACTCACCCAGTCTCCACAGCAACTGTTCCCACTATAGAGTGGGAAGCTGATCCCAGAGAGCAGGCAGGTAACACTACTTATAGAACGCTGCATGACTCATACTTAATAAGGCCTTATTCACCTTATTCACCTACTCTTTTACGTGCAAATCAACCGTGTGTGCATCTTTGAAAAAACGTACGTGATTCAGAAAAAACACCCGTACACCAGTACATATATGATATGATTTAAAAAAGAGGAGTGCAGGTGAGAAAATCCCATTGTGTCACAGTTTTTTCTCCTCTCCGCTGCCACTGTGTCTCTCACTCACCCAATCAGCATTCAGTTCATGTTAGTCACACCCACCTCGCCAGCTCTCCTCATTACTGCACTCACTCCCTTCAGGATTCGAGCTACAGCTTCACACTTCACGGTTGGACTTCGCCGACCAACCGCCATGGTCTTCCAGGGTTCCCGCGGGTCCTTAAAAAGTCTTAAATTAAAATTTGGGTAATTAAGGTCTTAAATTGTCTTAAATCTCACGTAAAGTTGCTGTAGGTATTAATTTTTTCTTGCCGGTGCGCTTAATGCCGATGAGAAAGCACAGTGGCGCATCGCAAAACATCTAATGATTCATTTAGTGCGAAATGAGTCTCCGCAATTGAATATCTGTTTACGGTACGTCGGCTACAGACGCTGAGCAGGGTAATCCCTGCAACGACGTTACAAGTTCACACGCCACCTCTCAGTCGGCTGTAACAGGTTTCATTTCAGCACCAGACACCCAAAAGGCAGAGGTACTGTGACGAGGCACAATTCACATGTAATGGTGACATACGTGGCGTCTTTGCTGCCATGTTCCCGGTTCGCAATGCGTTGTGTTGTTTAGTGTAATCCAAACGTATGTGTGTTATTGGCTCTGTTCTGCATCACAAAGGAATCACTTTGATTGTTTACATCTATATTGGCCAAACAGTGTTGGAAGGGTTATTGTCAGTTATTATACGGTCTCCTAATTTGAAAAAAAATTTTGATTTCCATTGTAGGAGGCAATAAATTGTGCATTCCAAAGAAATTGTGACATTTTGGGGTCTTAAATTATATTTGTTGAGGTCTTAAAAAGCATGACATTTTACTTTTGAAATGGTGCAAGAACGCTGTCTTCTGTCCCAGGGTTCGAGTTCTAGCTGAGCTTCCTCTGGTTTCTGTCTGCCTGTCAACCGGAAGCAGATTGAAATGTTCAAACGATTAACTGTACTTGTCGTATTGCATCTGGATCCTGAACACCAACCTGTACACATTGACCCGGGCAAAAACTGCTCACACCTGGTCTATTATTATGCAAAGAGAGGTCTCAGGTTGGTTTACCCTGACATTCACACCTGAACTAATCTCACTCCTCAAATCTAAACCCAAACAACCCAACCGACGACGAGGGCTATGAACGTGACACGTTTGTAAAAGAGCGTCTAACTGCTTGAAAGGCTTAACGCAGACCTTCTCTCTCTTTCTCTGACGCACATACAGGCCTGCTAGAGCCGTCTATGTGTGGTTGTGTGTGTGTCCTCATGAGGACGGTGGAGTCTAATAGGAGAAGTCAGTGTCAGCCCCGAGGGAAAGTGCCCACTAATAGAGTTTGCTCTGTGGAGAAAAGGGCTCCAAGGAAATACAATGTTAATGCAGTCAGCTGTGTGTGTGTGCGTGAGTTGTCATACATGCACGCCTATGAGAGCCCATAATAACTGTTCTCTCATATCCATCTCCAACATCTCGTTTTGTTCACCCCATTGCAGAACATTATTTGCACAAATACACACAACAGTGTTTGAGACCAACTTAACCGAGACCAAGTGACAACAAAGACCGCATCGAGCCAGAGTTAACATTGAGGGGGGTTGAGACCGAGACCAACGGCCGACGAGACCAGGACTCACTCTGATCGGAAATATCCACAATTGTGTTTTTTTTTTAAATAAACCACAAAATGCACCGGCTGCTTACTGAAACCACTGCAATGGTGGTTCCACCGATCTCAATGTCTTTATCAGAGAGTGAGACAAGACTATCAAGAATATCCACTAAACCAGTGATAAAGCCGTGGATCCTGAGACCTTAAAATAGTGGTTTTAAAGTGACAGTATGGTAAACTTTGGTAAAACTCGTAGCTTAAAATAGAACATGATTTCACGTTTTTAAAGTTTTCTTGTGCTCCAGTGATAGTTGTCTGTACAACCATTGAACACCTCTGCGTTTACGTCATTGCTGCTAACAGGAACAATTAACAGCTTTTCAACGCACCTTTAATGGTGCAATTGGTGAAAATCAAAAATGAAGACCACTACCTACTGTAGCTCTGGCGGACATTACAACCGTCCATTTGATGAGCTCTTAATCCCCTGGTGGCTGTAATTTAATTCTGATCTAATGATGGTGATGGATGAAACGTCAGGGGAACATCGAGGCAAGTTCAATTTTTCCAGTGGGCATATCAGTGTCTGACTCCAATTTCATGGCAAACCGTCCAAGAGGGGCAGAGATATTATACATATTTCTAAACTATAACTACTGCAGCTCCTGCCAAGGACGTGGGCAGGTTATAGCACACCATCCGCTCTGCAGAGACCGCACTCTACCTCCAGGACCTGTTCGCTTTGAGGACCCTGAAGTGAGCTAGAAAGATTGTTTCAATCGGTGTGCCCCTTCCATCTGGCAGGTCTGAGGTCTTATTTTGTAGTTTTCTGCCTCTTGTCTCCCCGGGTAACTTCACTTCCTGCCTTGTCCTGTCATCCCCTGTGATTGTTTCCACCTGCACCTTCCCAGTGTATTTAAGCCATGTGTGTCTCTCGTCACTTGTCGCGTCATTGTTGATGACGGAAGTCCTGAGTGTCTGAGTGTTCCTGCTTCCTGTCTACGTTTTTCCCCCTTTGCCTTTTTTGCTTTTGGAATTTTTGACTTTTAAAAAGTCTTTTTGTTTGAAACTCTTTGAGTCCTGCCTTCACCCGCCTCCCTGACAACAACTAGCATGCAGAATCACACTCATTTGCATTCAGATTTTGAGATCTTATTTTTAGGAAAGATGCTCGGTTAGACAGTTGACTTTAAAGTGTCAGTGGAAAGCGTTTACACTGGATGCACAATCACTCAGCATTAGCCTAATGCTGTGTATGTCACTGCCGGCCATTGCAAGTGCACAGTGTTCATATGGACCTGTATGGATTATATGGCATTAGTTTGCCCACACTGGGTTTGCTGCAGGATTAGTTAACTCAGATTTTTTCAATCATTCTCTCCCACTCTCTTGCTCTGTCTCTATCCCCATCCATGTTACTGTCAATGTACATGACACACACACACACACACAGCTCACATCCCCCCATCTGCCATCATCCTCCAATCACAGGTCAAGAAACTGGGCTGAGGCCCAACGGAGATGTGTATCCACACACAAGACCATAATTCCCATCCTGTAGGATTCTCTGTGCTTATCAGACATTTTCATACTACATTTTTGCTCTGCTTCCACAAATAAATAATAGGGATGTAATCTCAAGATAATTC